GTAATTATTGGTGAAGATATCACATCACGAAGCCAAGGATGCTTTTGGGAGATATGTTGTGATAATGCATTTGGTTTTGAAAAACTTCTGTCACAGTGTTCACATTAGTGTTTGGCATCATTAAAAAAAATTTTAACCGATTAATTAACCATCTAGCATGGCAGTTCAAATGGTTTAACCAGTTAATTACTACGCTGATTAACTATCAAACCATTAATGATTAACCGGTTAATTAACCGGTTAAATTAAGTGATTAACCGGTTAAATCATAGTGAAAATACAACTTCTGTTAATAAAAAAAGTTCGTTATATAAAATTACTATGTTTTTGTATAGAAGTCGCTACTTTTTCTATAACGAACTAATAGGAAATTTAAAAATTTAAGGTTTGTTATATCCAGAGTTCGTTATAAAGAGATTTGTTATAGTCGTTATATCCAGAGTCGTTATATCCAGAGTCGACTGTACGTAATTCATCGATTGTATACGTAATTCATCGATAGTAACGTAATTCGTCGATAGTCTTAGTGATACAATATCACTGAAAATTATTTTTTATTCGGAGGCAAGTTTTCATCGAGTTCGCTAATATTTCGGCAGCGTCCATTTTTTCATCGATTTTGTCAATATTTTGGCACCTTGGGAATCACTTTCGATTTCGCTAATATTTCAGCGATATTAATCTCAGTAATAATCCTTCGTCGATTTCAGCAGTATTGACAAATTCGACGAACAATTATTCTTGGAATTAGTACTGCCAAAATATTGGTGAAATCGACGAAGGATTTGGCACCTAGGTAATAGATTCAAATAGCCAATGCTTTAATGGGGGATGGCCTGTAACATTTAAAAATTTAGATGATATAACTTGGGTGAATTGGGCTCTATAGTATATAATTTCGGAAACCCATACCTTTATTCCTTGATCATAAATTAAAAACTGATACTTCACTTCATTAAAACACACTTAGGTTGTAAAAAATCATTATATTAGAAATTCACAAATTTATTAAGAATTAAAACCCCGCACATAATCATCATTTCGTTTTACAAATAATAATTTGTTTACCACACTAGAAGAAAGACGTGATCTTTTTGGACTATAATGATTTCCCGCATCACTAAATAATCGTTCCGAGGGAACAGAGATCGCAGGAATACTCAAATATTTGCGGACTATGATTGCTAACATGGGAAACTTTTTTTTGTGTTCTGCCCACCATTCCCAAGGATTGATATCTGGTGTAGCTTGTGGCGTGACAATATTGTCCATATATGTGTAGACTTCTTCACGCACACTTTGTGATTCTTGAGGGAGTTGAAAAATTGCTGCAAAAAATGCGTTGCTTGATCCATTATTTCGTGATTGGTGAGCTGGCATCATATGTGTTGTTTGTTCTGGTTGTAATGTTGCCACCAGCTTATTGTACTCATTCTTTAATACTTCCTGTGATTTTTCTTCAAAATCAATAGGTAATGAGATCAAGCTTTTTAAACGTGGATTCAAAATAGTCGCCAATAAACCAATATCACTTGGAGCGTCCCAATGATCGAACAATGAATTGAAAATTCGGTGTTTCATCTTTTTAAGTACAGGAGTAAAATCTGGTGAGGTGTTTTCAGCAATTATATGTCTCCGGATTGTATAGT